TACTCTGTTTTTCCCACTGTCTTTCCCCCACTGACCACAGGACCTGACCCCGTTAACAGCTGAAACGCTGGGTATGACTCTTCATTATGAATTTGTGTTTTGGTTCAGGCATGAATCCAGCTCACCTGATTCATCACTGAGTGCAACCGACCTTGGCATCAATCTGTTAGTCCTCCAATATTGGATAAATGTTGGGTTTATCAAAACCCCGCTGGAACACATGAAACCCTTAACTACATGCAAAGCAAGACGAGACTAATCTCTTTTTTTTTTTTGTGGCTCACAAGGGAAGTACAGCCAAAGTTGAGGAAAAGGTTCCTTCACCTGAACTCTGCCGACTGTGTGCTAGAAAGCAGAAGTAAGCTAATCTATAAAAACAGGAACTTGCAAAAGGTCCTGTTCCAAATGGATATTTAAAGGTGTGAAGTGTTGCACCTTAAAAGATCATAACATGGTGCTTTCTAAATGTATCTAAATGTAGCTCTCTGCACTAAGCGGCATTCTAAATAAAGATAGCACATTTTGTCAGCACAGACACAGACTGTCTGGTTCTTTCTACATAATGATAGCCATATTAGGCCACAAAAAGGCAATGCTTATATAGTTATATATCTTAGTACAAATGATTCTATGTTTCTAAGCATAAATGACAATATAAAAAATATCAATCCTGACATTCCTCCCTGTTTGTCATTAATTAAGACACTTACAGTATTATATGCTTTCAGCTTTGCACCACTTGTATAACATTTTCAGTGCATCCATAATTTTAAACACGTTTCGGCCATGCCATCCACGTCACTTTGCTGCAACAGAATATATATAGTAAAGGTGTTAGCAATCATTTTATTTATCATTGATCTCGGACACGGTAGGGTGCAACCTGTGAACAAGCAAAACAATGTCAACAGTACAAGAACAGGAGTCAAGACTTTCAAGAATGTATGTTACAGTGGTCCAGACGTCAACCAGGCTGTCCAGCCTTATGGCTTGTCCCCTCCTGATTTGTGGTCTGCCACATATCTCTGCAGAGCAGTCAGGTTCTGCAGTGCTTCATAGATGTCTCCTCCAGTTGTATATACACCTGTCATACAGGTGCAACAAGTGTCTCCGATGATCTGGCATACTCCTTGTTGTGATGTTGTTCTCAAATCTAAAGTCAAACTGTTATACCATCGTGCTGATGGTGTTCTGTTCTTTTTCAAGGCCTTTCCTAGGGCCTTGGTCAGGTTTATGTCTTAACGACACATAACAGTTGATCCCTCTCCAAGGCTGACCCACGGAAACAGCCTTTGACCGAACGTCGCTCCGACTCTCCAAATGAGGAACTGGTACAGCACATCCATCTGCGCAGTCAGTCTGTCTGCACTGCGTCTTATGCGTGTAGTAGGGTGATGTTTCCAGTCTTTCCATGAAGAAAACATGAACTGATTGTTTCACAAGAGCACAGGCCTCCCCTTTTCAGCTGGGTG